TGGAGAATCAGGCTCCCAGTAGCCACATATAAAGGACCACAACCTCCAATCCAGCTGGTCACTGGAGGGGCAGTCCACTGTAGTGGGATTTTGGAGTGGTCATAACACCTGCTACACAACCCGTCCTCCTGGCTGCCCAACGGATCCCCATGTGCTGGGACAGCCTTTGGGGCCATAGGCAGCTGATGTAAACTAGAGCAGCCTGCAGGCTGTTCTAATTCATGCTGGTGACCAGGCCCTGATGGCCCCAGGAGCAGAGGAGCACAATGGTTTCTTACTGTCACTCATGTCACTCCCGCCTCCTGAGGTACGTGCGTGTTCCTCAGCCACTGCTCAGGATCTGGGATCTGAAAGGGAAGGTTATAACCTTCCCCGTGTACAATGCAGATTGTGAAGGTGCAGAGCTGCTGCTCTAGGACAAAGGACACCATCTGAAATGTTTGATTATAATTATTGTTTATTGTGTTTGTTCTACTTCTGCAAAATCTAGAGATCCACTTTCCCCCTGAGAAGAATCTCCCGGGATGATTCCAGAGCCCTTAATCAGTGGAAGATGTGCGACTGAAGCCCATGCACTGTGCCAGAAATCTCCACTTCAGTGATTTGCCCAAGATTGCAAGGAACTCAGTAAGAGAACTGTGAGCAAAACCAGGTCTCTTGATTTCCAGTCCTGGGTCCAAACAACTAGGCTGCTTTTGTATATGTGGGCTGGGGGAGACAACTCAGAAAAAAATAATTAAAATCCATCCCCCACCACACACAGACCAGCTTCCTTACCTGCATCGCAGACTTTACATCTCATGCACTCTGTTAGGCCATTGGGATGCTCTGTATATGTGTCGTCCACACAGGGCATGCATGTTGTGCTGCTACTTGGTTTACAATGTTTGACCACCCTGCTCCCTAAAGCAAACAAAACAATTAGCGCCTGTGTAAACCAGGCTAATATATTTAATGCATTAATACAGAGATTGTAAAAGCAGGTAAGTGTGCATGACAAATGCACACACTATGTGTGTGGATTTTACAGGTTGCACACACCACCGCTAGAAATAAAAGGTAAACGTCTCAGAACTAGATTGCCAGACCTGAAATCCTCTATTTCTGCACAACACAGGTACAGCACAGACAGAAACAATATCATAACTCACACCCCTCTCTTATCTGTAGTATCCCTAATACAGTCGTGCTTAGACTCTGTGTAACGGACATGGGACCTTTGACAGATGTGTGTGTCCCTACTGTGCCTAGTCAGGATCGTGGCCCTTTAAAAGATGCAGGTCTGAGTACTGTAGTTCCTCCTAGGGGGATGGAGAATCCCCAGTGAAGCAAGTGACTGGAGGGATCATATGACCAGAAAGCGCCAGGGGACTAAGGAAGTCAGGTGACTGCCTGTGGCCAGTCCTATAGGACTATAAGAGGTAGATTGAGAGGTGAGGGGCTGGGGCAGTGCTGGTGTCCACAGCAGCCGTCTGGACAGCTGTCTGGGGCAGGGCAGTGGCTGGGGTGGGACGGGCAGAGGTCCCTGTGCAGAGGAAAGATCAGTAGGATCCCGATACAAGGGGACTGTGAGGGGCTGGGGAAGGGCCAGGAAGGGCTGGGGGATCCCGGATGCAGGGCAAAGGGTGAATACAGTGAGTCCTAATGGGGACAGTGTATTGACTGTTACAGTCAATCCGGGCAGAGATCTGGGTCCTGGGCAGTCAGGCCTAGAGATTGAAACGAGAGTTCAGCCGACCGGTTAGAGCTGGGTCCAGCGGGGCAGAGTCCAGGAACAAGCCAACGGTCAGTACTGGAGTGACAGAAGCCGAGTGCAAGAGCCGGAGGGTAAAGTGGGGTTGTAGTCAGAAGGCCCAGCCAAGGGTCAGAAGCCAAAGGGTTAACCAGAGTCACAGTCAGGAGGCGCAGCCAAGGGTCGGTGGTGGGGGTCCAAAGCCAGGACAGGGCTGGGGTAAGGACTGGACGCCGGCTGGAGCAGGGCTAGGACGGAGCAGGAGCAAGGACTAGACACGGAGCAGGGCAAGCCCAGCTGCAGGCAGGGTGCGCATCGAGCAGCCGCTGTTCTGCTGTGGGTGCCAGGCTGCTAAGCAGGAGTCAGAACTGCTGATCCAGCAGCCACTCCAGAGCTGTGGCTACCCCAAAGCGATGCAACTCGGCTTCCTGGTTCCCCAGCAGCCAAGTTAGTCAAGGGAGCAGGCCAACAGCGCGTCCTACCTGACCTGGTCTCTGAGGAAGAGAGCTGTTATGGAGAAAGTGACTTGCTCAAAGTATCACAGTACGTCTCCTTCTGGATCTCCTGTGTCCCAGGCCACAAGAACCATCCTCTCTATGTCCTCCACTGACAGGTGAGTAACAAGCAATGAGATGTTTACATGGACAGATCTGTGTCCTCACCACCAGTCAGATTCACAGTAACAGAAGCGAGCAAGCTCTCCGGAGGAGACCGGACTATTGGACTCTCTAGGGAAGGGTCTTGATTTTTAAAGAAGCAATCATATATACCTACCAGCACTGCACATGGGACAGCATTCGCCATTTATTTCATATTCGCCTGGGTAGCACTGTAGAGCTTCCGAATGAGGTAGTTGTGTTACCAAGAAAATGACAAAAATCTTTAGGGAAGAAGAGAAGAAAGAGTTTCTGATTCGCATCATGCAGGCTCAATAGCAGACGGGGAGGGGCTGGTAGCACCATGGCACTGATTAGTGCTGTGATGCTTTTGCCTGAACCCTTTGAGTCCCTCAGGTTCAAGGTGGGGATTCAACAGCGACAACACTCCTAGCAAGCTCTTCTCAACCCTGACCTGGATGCAGTGAGTGCTAGTGTATAAGAAGCAGCTTCCATCTCCTCTCTCACACCGCTACAGAGACACCACTGAAATCAACAGGAGTGGGGGGCACTGTTCAGGAAGTGCTCAGCACACTGCAGGATCAGGCCCCTTAAGTGTCTTTTGATGTCTCCTTTGCAGTAGGAAGCAGCGTTCACATACTGCATGTTACTGCAATAACTTCAGTGACCCCACAAGCATGTGCCTCAGTCGTGTCTGGGTATAAGCGTCATGTGCTGAGTTGCTCTCTCCTGACACTGAACAAGGAGCTATTCGAACAAGGAAAACAACAACTTCCCTGCGGCTAGTCAGAGCCTTCCCCAGCCCCATCTGCTTCCCGGTTCCTCCTGCTACAGTTTTAAAGAAACCCTGCACAACCTCACCACGCTCTGTAGCAGACCAAGACAAAGCGACTGAACTAAGGGTGCAGCGGAGAAAGCATATTAAAAATCAGACTGTGAGGAGGCTAGCCTGGAACCTAAAGGTCTTTTCTGCAGCCTCGCAAGACCCAAATGTGATGTCTAAGTGTTGTCAGGAGTTTTGCCATTTATTTCAATAGGACTTGAGAGGATCAGCTTCTGACCAGTAGTTGTGACGCAATTCTCCAAGAAGGGCCATATTTTGGGAGTTTACTGTGCCCACGCTACATACACCAATATCAGAGATCATCTGAAAGTTTATTTCATGTATGTTTAGCTGGGGTATGATGTGGAGCTGGTAAATGGTGCTGTAAGCCGGCAGACGAGGTGAAACAATGGTACCAAAATGAGAAAGTGTCACTTTTTCCACAGTTCCAGACACACTGCAACATGACTGTGACTACAGTGTTTAATCATAGAATCATAGACTTAATGGTCCCCTCTGACCTTAATGATCATCTAGTCTGACCTCCTGCACTACACAGGCCACAGAATCTCACCCACACACTCCTGTAACAAACCCCTAACCTATGTCTGAGTTATTGAAGTCCTCAAATCGTGGTTTAAAGGCCTCAAGGTGCAGAGAATCCTCCAGCAAGTGACCCGTGCCCACGCGGCAGAGGAAGGCGAAAAACCTCCAGAGCCAAAGCCAATCTGCCCTGGAGGAAAATTCCTTCCCGACCTCAAATATGGTGATCAGCTAAACCCTGAGCATGTGGGCAAGACTCACCAGCCAGACACCCAGGAAAGAATTCTCTGTAGTAACTCAGATCCCACCCCATCTACCATCCCATCACAGGCCACTGGGCATATTTACCGCTAATAATCAAAGATCAATTAATTGCCAAAATTAGGCTATCCCATCATACCATCCCCTCCATAAACTTATCAAGCTTAGTCTTGAAGCCAGACAAGTCTTTTGACCCCACTGCTCCCCTTGGAAGGCTGTTCCAGAACTTCACTCCTCTGATGGTTAGAAACCTTCATCTAATTTCAAGTCTAAACTTCCTAATGTCCAGTTTATATCCATTTGTTCTTGTGTCCACATTGGTACTGAGGTTAAATAATTCCTCTCCCTCCCTGATATTTATCCCTCTGATATATTTATAAAGAGCAATCATATCTTCAGCCTTCTTTTGGTTAGGCTAAACAAGCCAAGCTCTTTGAGTCTCCTTTCATAAGACAGGTTTTCAATTCCTCGGATCATTCTAGTAGCCCTTCTCTGTACCTGTTCCAGTTTGAATTCATCCTTCTTAAACATGGGAGACCAGAACTGCACACAATATTCCAGATGAGGTCTCACCAGTGCCTTATATAACGGTACTAACACCTCCTTATCTTTACTGGAAATACCTCACCTGATGCATTCCAAGACCGCATTAGCTTTTTTAACGGCCATATCACATTGGCGGCTCATAGTCATCATGTGATCAACTAATACTCCAAGGTCCTTCTCCTTCTCTGTTACTTCCAACTGATGCGTCCCCAATTTATAACCAAAATTCTTGTTATTAATCCCTAAATGCATGACCTTGCACTTTTCACTATTAAATTTCATTCTATTATTATTACTCCAGTTTACAAGGTCATCCAGATCTTCCTGTATGATATCCCGGTCCTTCTCTGTATTGGCAATACTTCCCAGATTTGTGTCATCCGCAAACTTTATTAGCACATTCCCACTTTTTGTGCCAAGGTCAGTAATAAAAAGATTAAACAAGATTGGTCTCAAAACCGATCCCTGAGGAACTTCACTAGTAACCTCCTTCCAGCCTGACAGTTCACCTTTCAGTATGACCCGTGTTTACTATTTAAGCTAATTTCAACTCCTTAATTTGATGGCTATTGGTCAAAGCTACCAAAGGAGAACGTATTACAAGATTTTTATTGGCTTTGCATGGGCAAGTTTTGTTTTTTTCCAGAAATGATTAAGCTGTTTAGCATATGGCAAAAATGGCAAATATCACCATTTTCCAATGTACTGACATGAAATCTTTTCACATGGCACATTCTTAATTGTCAATGTATTTCACAAGTGATTATAATAGCTGTCTGTATTTTGAATTGAAATTTACTGATTAGATCAGTCTCACATTGGTCACAGGCTGACCACTACTAGCAGTATACAGGTAAGATTAGAAAAACGACTATGGTTCTGCAATTTCATTCCATGCACAGCATGGGCAAGGCAAGTCTTCCCTTGTTCTATGCAACACAATACCATTAACTGATGCTATCCAAGCTGCTAGTCATGTGAAGCAGGAACTTAAGTCATCCAAGTGTTTTGTAGATGTTCTTCTGGCAAATGAGCTTGATGAACAGCTTTCAAATGAACAAATGGTTTTGTATAATGCTGCTCCAATCCTTCGGTCTGAAACAGCCAAAATAAAAGCCGCACAATATTACCCTAAGCCAAGTCATTGTAGCTTACAGAGGTCAGCTACTTTGGGGCCCACTTGGTGCTGGAGTTTGTCCTTTGGCTGACTGATAAAGAGGTATGTAATTCAGCCAACAATAAGTATCATCCTTCAGAAGATATTCAAAGAAGTTGCCTCTCAATTGCAGACTGCGCAGTATTCATCTGTTCCCAAATTATCACAACACTAAATCCATGAGCTAAGAGCATGCAACAAAGGAACCACAGTGTACATCAGAGATGCCATGGCTGTCATGCAAATGATGGCTGGAGACAAACTCCGCCCACTCAATGAATTGGCTGCTGAGTACTTGAGGCAGGTAACTCTATGAAACTGCAGAAAGACGACATTGGACAGGATCTAAGGCTGGATGCAAGAAATACCAGCTGATTGGTGGATGCCCTGGGCCTCCACAGGAAAAGTTTCTAACCGTGGCATCCAACAAGTTGTGACTTGTAAAATTCTCTGTGAATATACGGCTCAAGATGCACCTGCGAGTGTAGGAACCCACCCAACACAAACACTCCTTCTTGCTGGAGGCATTTCCAATGATGAAATAGCAAAGTCCATGACCAGTGGAGGCGTTGAAGGAGCCCAAGACTCATACAGTGCTCAAGAGGAAGCAGACACAAGGATGATCTACCTGCTCTACGTGCTAATATGGCTTTTCTGTCTCTTGGTGTCCAAGGAACCATAGTAATTAGATCACCTTATACAGATGTTTTGCTCATGGGTGTTGAATATCAAAGACAGGGAAAGGCTAAGCCCACCCAAACTGCCTGCGTGGCCCCGCCCACACTCCACCCCCAGGTCCCCTCCTGCTTCCCGCCGCGCTCTGCTGCGGCTCTTCCTTCCCATGTGGCTGGGGCCCCGGGCCAGTGGTACCAGAACCGGGGGACCAGGAGGCCATAGTCCTCCCACTTTTGGAAAGTGGGGAAGCCTGGGAAGTGGTGGTGAGCTGCAGTGGACCCTCCACCAGCCTGGGGTGCAGAGGGCTGAGAGCAGCCACCACCCAGGTCCCCCGGCCGCCCGGGGCAGGAGGGTCCGCGACTCCACGCTGGTTCCCCACAGTTGCCCACACGGCAATCCCTGACCCGACCAGAGGGGCCGGAGGCTGGGGCCTCGAGAGCTGCAGCCCGGCCACGGTGAGGAGCCGCAGACCCTCCACCTGTACCGGGGAGTGGGGACACAGGCCGGGTGCTCCTCAGGCCCCCCGCACCGCGGGCAGATAGAGGGGTCCACTGCGGATCCCCACAGCTGCCCGCCCTGCTCTTATCATGGCCGGGCTGTGGATCCGAGGCCTCCCCACACCCAGAGCTGGGTTGGGGAGAGCTGCACGGGCAGCTGTGGGGAGCCTGGGTCCTTCCACCTGCCCTGGGCTAGGGGCCCAGGACATGGGCAAGGGGCTGCTTTCACCTCCACCTCGGGCAAGGTCCCCTGCCTCCTCCCAGACTTTTGGGAGGGCTCCGGCGCCCTTGCCCTTGGCTGGGGCTACTAGGGGCTGGCCCATAGCCAGGAACTCTGGGCAGCTGGAGCCGGTGTTTACATCTCCCGCCCACCCAGCGCTCCAGGACTGGGGACCCTGCTGCCTGCCCACAGCTCAGGGGCTTGGGCTGGGGACCTCGCTGCCTGCCTACCGCTCTGGGGATGGGGGGGGGGCGCTCCGGCGGCCTGGGGGACTGGTGGGGGGCCTCTGGGCTCCGGCCGGGGAAGGGGGGCAGGACGGGCAGGGCCCCAGGCAGAAGGGGCAGGGGGGCCAGGGACTAGCCTCCCCGAGCCGCGGTTCACCCACCACCCATGGTTTTGCTCCTTGCTGCTCACTATTTTCCAAAAATGGAACACACAGACAACACGTGCATTGAAACAGGCACCATTACCAGCAAAACTGCCCAGAGTCGCTTCAGACCTGTGCATGCGATTTGTGACACACATATTCCTGACTTCTGAGATATACCTCCTGCTGTCCACACAGTAACAAGATGTGTCACTGTGTCATCCCTATTTAGTATGGGGAGGGGGGGGAAATCTGTGTTTAATGTTATCAAAACAAAGGGCGCTTACCACTTCAAAGGTCTTGCCAAACTGGGAGAGAGTGATGGACAAGCTGCAAATTCTGCAGCAAGGAAATTGGTAGCAGTGCTGTTTGACCAGCATGAGAAAGAAAAAGGAGACCCACGAAGAACTGAATTGCTTGTATCTCAATCTACCCATCAAAAAGGACAAGTCACTGGCCAAACTCCCACCATAAGAAGAGAGTTTTGAAGAGTGTGTCAAAAGAGCATCTTGACAAACAAAGATTTGGATGTCTTCTCCCAACCAGATATCAGCTCACCATTGCAATGTGGATGAAAAAATGTGGATGATGAACTACTTGCTGTATTCTTCAAGGGCCAAATGGCATCTGATCTTCGACATGACTTTATCTGTGCCTGTACCAGTACCAGTAGGGGTTGTTGAACAGTTAACTGTGTCTGTAGTCAGAACAATCTTCCCTGGACAGAATTGTGTACAAGCCAAGGCAAGGAAGACTTTGGTAGTGCAAGCACATTCAATGGAGATCATAATGATGAACAAGATGATAATGATGTTGACTAGAAATGTTACCAGCACTATTACTTTTCCATGATACTTATACAAGTTTATTATCATATTTTGTTTTACCCTTTAGGATATTGCTGTGATGCTTTGAGGTCACAAAGAAATCCAATTTTATCTCTTGAAATAATACACAGAGTCATTCAAGTAGCAGAAACAAATGCAAATTTCAAAGTGGTCATTTTAACGTGTTGATGGTGTCACTGCTTATCCCCATATCTGTGGTAACAGCACCACTTGACAGCTCCACATCATACCTCATCTTAAAGTAGACATACAAAGCTTTCACATGATGTATGAAGTGTATTTGTATAGAGAGACTGCATTAAGATGACCAAATTGGTGGTGTCTGCTGTTAGCCTATCAGCCCCCTACATCGCCATTTCCTCACTACCACTCTCCACATTCTGGGTCAAACTCTGCTCTCATTTAAACCTGGAATAGTTCTACTGACATTAGTCTCGCTAGAATCCAGCCTTTACAGCCCTGGGACATGATCCTCCATCCCTGACTCATGGGAGTGCTCAGCTCAGTTTGGGTCTAATCACGTGTATCACAGTGATGGGGTTGGATTAATAGACTGTGGCCTTTGACATTTCAGCTAAAGCCGCTTTCTGTTATGATTTTTCTAAATCCAGAAGCATGGGGGATACCCTGTTAGCCACTTGGAAATCATTTTCTTTTTTTTCCCAGTATATTCTCTTTCCCTTTTACCCATGGTGTGTTTCGCTCGCTACTTGGAATTCAATTGAACTTAGCACCAGTTCCAGTTTACACTATGACACCCAAAATGGAAGGACTGAAATATGATTGGCCATGGAAAGCCCCAAACTGAGACCCAGCAGCAAAACTTCCGAGTGGGCCAAGCGTTATTCCCTGTGCTGGCCTGTCCCTCTGGTCCATACAACAGTGGACACCCTGGGAGGAAACGGCAGATACAAAACAACAAACTATGGGGGTAGAGCAGCAGCGGATTCAATACAACGCACCACAACGAGCTACTGTCCATTTAGAATCCTCAAACATTTCCCCATTCAAAGGGCAACTTTGGGGGTAAGTTTGTTTGTTTTTTTAAAATCAGTGTCCGTTAATAAAAAGTCAATCCACTTAGACCCACCAGGCTCCAGGCTGAGTATCAGCTGATGAGAACAAACCAAAAATTTCCCAGCGGAATTTTTTTCCTACTAAATGAAGGAGGAAAAGTTATATTTTCAATATTCATTTTTGTTGTTCTTTGCTGTTTCCACCAGATGGAGCCCAACAGCTTCTAAAATGCAGAGAGATTTTCTCGAACAAGGAATAAACCACCTCAAACTCCGCACCGTGTAGTTTGCGTTAGTAAAACGGATAAATGTAAAATATTCGGCTTCCTGGGATCTTCTTATTAGTCACAGAAGATTCCCACAATCCCTCCCCTACCCCCACCCATGCACCCCCAAACCTCCCCCAGTGTCTCTGCCGGGTTTGCTGGGCAGGGCCGATCTGTTGGCTCCATTTTATTTCATGAACTTTCGGGATCCACTTACCCGGAGCATGGTCCTGAGAACAGACCGCAGTGTGTCTGCTTCTGCCCCCCGCTGGGCATTGAGTCTCTGACCTCTACAGCTCAGCGCGGCCTCCAGGTCCCGATCAGTGACAAGCTGCGGGCCTTAGCGAGCCTGGTGCCACCGCCCTGTCCTGGGGTGTCCGCCCCATGGATCCCCCGCGCCCTTCTCCGGGAGCTCCCGGCCCGCTAGCAGGACACAAGCCCAAAGTCCTGCTCCGGCTCAGGCTCTAATCCAGGCCCGACGGCCCCGCAGCAGCAGCCAAGAGACAGCTCAGAACCTACACCAGCTCGAAAAAGTGAAAGTGAAAGATGCAAGCAGGCGGGGACTTTCCTAGTAGGCTGGTCTTTAGGGTTATATTGTTTATTGTTATACGGAGAGAGACACTTAAGGTAAACCCAGGGTATAGTGGGCACATAGTGTTGACCCTGGAGGGGTCACATAGAGGTAAAAACTACCTGTGCCATGGCTACATTGGGATTTTAAATCCAGATAATTCTCTCCATGTAAAAACATACCTGTTTTCCCCCGGTGAAGACACAGCTATGTCATGTTATAACCCCTCTCTTATTGTGTGTGTCTCTGCCCCAGGTCAGCGTGGCAAACGCTAGAGCCAGGTCTAGCTGAGAGATTCTTGCCGGTCTAGCTATGTCGGTCAGGGTGTGGTGTGATCTCTGACCAGCAAAGCCCCCAGTACAGATGCAGTTATAGAGGCAGAACAGCATTTGCCAGTACAGCTTGTTTTCCGGGGGTGGGATTGGGAATAAGCTGTACAGGTAAAATCACAGTGTTGCCAATAGAAGTTGTCTCCCCATCAGGAGTGCAGTGCCAGTATATCTACACCGCTAAAGCACTCCTAGCCAAAGGCTACATCTACACTGCAAAAACCAACGCTGTGGCAGGGGGTGCTGGCAGGGTGTTGGGGTCAGGGTGCTGCTGACCCAAAACTGAACAGCCACAAGACACCCAGCATTACAAGGCAGATGTTGACTGAGCCCCTTGCTGGCCTGGGTGAACCCCAGAGCATCTCAGCAGCAATCAGCATGTTCTTCTAAATTTCTTGCGGGGGCGGGGGGAAGGAGGGTTGGTTAAATGGAAAGACAAGGGAAGGGGGTGAGGGAGACAGGGCAGGTAGGAGAAGAGAAGAGGAGCAGGTGTGGAGCAGGGGAGACTTAGGTTGTAATGCAGACAGAATTTGTGTTGCTCAGGTATGTGAATAAACCACCCCCCTGAGCGACATAAGTTACACTGACATAAGCACTCGTGTGCACAGCACTATGTCGGCGGGACACGTAGCTTCTGCCGCTCGCGGAGGTGGTTTTATTATGCCAACGGGAGAACGTTGGGAGAACTGGGACGGGCTACCCTGAAAATGCCACACTCAGGGCAGACTGCAAGAAATAGGGCAGACAATCCCCAAGCTAGCGGTTATTTCTATAATTAGATTCACCAAGCCAGTGACACAAATAGCTTCAGCAGTACCACTCTGGTTAACCAGAAGCCCAATACAGTCCCCCTTAGGCCTTCCAGCCCTTGGCTCCCAGCCAGATAAACAGGTCTAATATGGTGAAAACCTAATTCATTATATGTGAGGTTTTTACTAATCCCAGAGGATCAGACATATACCCCTCAGGTCAATACAAAACTCAGATCTTACCCAAATATCACACTGTCAGTCAATCCTTAGTAAACTATTGAAAGATTTATTAATAAAAGAAAAGAACAGAGTTACAAATGGTTAAGGAACCATATACCTACAAGTGATTGCAAAGTCCTTCTATCAGGACTTTGTAGCAGAGATGGAATAAACTGCTGGTTTGCAAAAGAATCTCTGGAATCACCCAAAGAGATTGGGGGTCATCAGTCCTTCTTCAGAGCTTCCTTGTTAGAAATCCAGTCCAGAGAAATGAAGCAGGAAATGAAGACAAAATGGAGATGACTCAGGGGTCTTTTATATCCTCTGCCACGTGCTTGGAATTTTACTGTCCCAAACAAAGCCCAGAGCCCGTTTGTGGAAAGTTACTGACCCAAGCTGGAGTCCAGAGTCGCATATCACATGTCCTTACACAGTTTGCTGACTCACCGCGGGTGACCACTGGCCCTTCCCTGTCTGAAGCATCCTCAGGAAGAACTATCTGGAGGGGATGAGTTTCTTCAATGGCCCCTTGTGAGGGCTGAGTGTCCTTGATGGGCCATCCACACGTAGCTGTGTAGCCTTGATGTAAGTTCTATCGTGGGGGGCGGGGGGTGTCACCCAGCAACACAACACGTGTGTAAGATCCAAGTACACAGCCAATATTCATAACTTCAGATACAAAGTGATACATGCCTATAAACAGATAATCATACTTAGCAAATCAGAACTTTTCCACTTATCAGAGGGGTACCCATGTTAGTCTGTATCCACAAAAACAACGAGGAGTCCAGTATCACCTTAAAGACTAACAGATTTATTTGGGCATAAGCTTTTGTAGATGAAAAACCCACTTCTTAAGATGCATGGAGTGAAATTTACAGAACAGGCATTATTATACTGACACATGAAGAGAGGAGAGTTACCTTACAAGTGGAGAACCAGTGATGACAAGGCCAATTCAGTCAGGGTGGACGTGGTCCACTCCCAATAACTGATGAGGAGGTGTCAATGCCAAGAGAGGGAAAATTGCTTTTGTCGTGAGCCAGCCACTCCCAGTCTCTATTCAAGCCCAAATTGATGGTGTTAAGTTTGCAAATGAATTGTAGCTCTGCAGTTTCTCTTTGAAGTTTGTTTTTGAAGTTTTTGAAGCAACTTTTCCACTGACACCTTACATGATACAAACTGTATAAGATCCATGGAAATTGTGACAGTGGTAACAACAGTGATATAAATGGTCACCGTTCTTATACACAGCATCACATCAGCATAGAACATCTTCACCAGATGCACTGCAGTGCATTGGTACAGCTGCGCCGCTGCAGCGCTGTACGTGTAGACATGGCCTTAGAGGGAACAGATGAAGTCCAGTCAGAACTGTATTAAGCTCTTTGTGGGTTGTTTGCGTCTCTGTCAGCATGCCCAAGGAGCAGCCAGCAATACTCTTGTTTTTTGTGATTTTAGTCAGTTTCACTCTCAGGTTGTTCCTGCTCCTTGAACACT